ATTCACGGGGGCGGGCGGAGGGCGGCCGCACAGGCGAAAACCTCTCAAAAACAGGTACGCAAACGTACTTGTTGAGCAGTCTTGCACGACCGCCCAAACATCTGCCGCATCGCCCCAATCAGAAGCAGAAGCAGAAAGTCCAGATATTGAACGGCCCGCGAGGGGCAGGCCAAAACAATATGCAATATGCTACACGCGCGCCGCCCGCTGCGCAAACTCAAAAGGGCTGCTCAACCGCTCGGCCTTGTCCATTCCGCGAAGCCTTTCACGGCCTGCTTCGCATTTGCCGTCTGGAATTGGTCACATGTTGTCCGCGAGCGCGTCCGCTACCGAGCTCTATATCCGACCAAAAGGTTATGCACGCTCGCGTGCACCATCTTCTGCATATGGCTTAGCTTCAGCAGCTCGTCGCCTATCTTCTGCATCTGCGCGCGCACATGGCGACTTCTCGTTTGTTCTGTCACTTTCTGTTGGTCCCCAACTTCCCCCGGCACCAGGGGCAAACACAGCAACAACTCCGTCAATGTCACCTTCAAGCGTGGCGCACTTACACCTGGGCCACCTTGAGTCAGGGTATCTCGGAAACAAGGATTCCGAAGATGTTTCAGGCGAAACGGGCCTCCGCACATCGCGGACCACGTCTCGAAACCCAGAGTTGCGAGAACGTATTAAGCGAAACGGCCCAGAGAACCTCAACTCAAGGCATCTAGCCCAGGGTTCGGGGGATGCCTCAGACGAAACGGGCCCGCGTACCTCGCGAACCAAATCTTGGAACCAAGGGATGTCTCAAACGAAAAAGGGCCTGAGCACCTCGCGATCCGCATCTTGGAACCCAAAGGTGTGAGTTGCGAGGATGTCTCAAGCCCAGCGGGCCAGAGAACCTAAAGTCAAGGCACCTCGGAGCCCGGGGCCCCGAGGATGTCTCCAGCGAAACGGGCATGAGCACTTCGCGAACCGCATCCTCGGCCCAGAGTTGCGAGTACGTACCAAGCCAAACGGTCAGGGCCAGGGGGTCGGAGGATGTCTCAGGCGAAATGAGCCTGCGTAACTCGCGAACCAGATCTTGGAACCAGGGAAGTCGCAGGCGAAAAGGGCCAGAGTACCTTGCGAACTGCATCTTGAAACAAAAAGGTGTGAGTTGCGACGATGTCTCAAGCCCAGCGGGCCAGAGAACCTAAAGTCAAGGCACCTCGGAGCCTGGGGTTCCGAGGATGCCTCCACAGAAACGGGCCTGAGCACCTCGCGAAACGCATCCTCAACCCAGAGTTGCGATGATGTCTCGGACAAAACGATCCGAGCCAGGGATCCCGAGGATGTCACAGGCGAAACGCGCCGGTGTACCTCAACCCAGAGTGGTGAGGACGTATCAAGCGAAACTGGCCAGACCACCTCAATTCAGGGCATTTCGAAGCCTGGGGCCCCGAGGATGTCCCAGGCGAACAACGCAATGAGGATGTCTCAGGCGAAACGGGACTGAGCATCTCAGGTCAGGGCATCTCAGAACCAAGGGTTCCGAGGATGTCTCAGGCGAAACAGGCTTGAGCTCATCGTAAACCGCATCCTCAGGATTGCGAGGACGTCTGAGGTCAGCGGTCAGAGCCGAGACACTCCCAGGCTACCCCAGGCGAAAGTACCTGAGTACCTCGCGAACCACTGGCGGACCCGCCAGCCCTGGACAGCAGCTGCCAAGGCGCTTCACGGCGGCCCCACCGAGAAACACCTCGTAGAGCTCTTCGGGACGACGGGCTTGAGGAACTTCGGCGCGGGATGGAACTAGTGACTCGCAGAGCTCCCCCAAGAGTGACGCGGCGAACCTCACGAGCAATTCGAAAACGCTGGCGGGCTAGGGCCCAAATTCGCCGGCCCAACGGGCCAGAGACGTGCTAAGATCTCCGCTAACTACTTAACAATATTTCTAGTTCGCGCGCGCGGGGCGGCCCCTGGGGGGCCCCGGACGAAAAGTACCCCGGCCGATCCCCGGCTGACCCCCGGGCGATCCCCAGGAGGGAGGCTATTTTTCGCCACCCGTCACGAGGATCGTGGCCTCCGAGGGGGGGGCTGCCAACGACTACCCCCCTTCCCGCCCCAAGGGGCCCCCAAGAACCCGCCAAGAGGCCCCAGGGGAGCCCAATACGCCGCCAAGGAGCCCCAAGACGCTCCCAAAAAGCCCCCAAGAAGCCCCCAAGACGGCCTCACGAGGCCCCAAATAGCGCTCCAGGGCCGGCGGAATGAGCGAAGCGATTCAATAATCTTGACGGGCTCCCGCTCGCCATCTTGATCTCGGATCCATCGGGTGAATCTCACTGCAGAAACCAGCGTGACAGGATTTTCGACCTACAGTCAACTCTAGGAAGCGAAATAAGCATCATCTGACGGGGAAGGACCAGAAGTTCTCATATGACGCATGCAGACGCCTGCAATTTGCCTCTTACGAAAGCAGCGATCGGAAAAAAAAACTAGGTGCCGGCGGTAAACCATCAACCAGGCTACCGCTGGGGAC